TGCTAAGGTTTCTACCGCCTCCTCTCAACCACTGAACACAACTCAACGTTGCAAACCCCAACAACAAACAAATGAAAAAGGCAAATAAAAACAAACAACCATTTAGTGTATTCCAATAATATATTATAATTTAGACAGACTTGATAAAGACAAGAAACATTTTTGGAGCAGTTTTTAAGCACAAAATTCCTATAGATTAAATAAAACATATGCAGGCCTTGTACTGAGGAGATGCAGCCTATTATGCATAAATTAAGCAGATAAATGCATTGGAATAGCACTCTTCTGCTCTGAGCATGTTCATATTTACTAACACACTTTCATACAGCACTTAAAGACTTATCAACCATTCTAAATAAACGGGTCTGTCTCTTGAAGCGGTTCTGAGTCACAATTTAACATTTGAACCGGTATTTGTGTAGAAACGAATAAATGTGTTGTGGATAAATGTATGCATCACAAAATATTTTTATTTTTAGAAATAATGTTAGTATTTGTAATCTAAGTAAATTTAACAAATCATTTCTTTTCATTTGAAATATATAAAATTATAACAAAATACAAATAGATAGATTTAATCTTTTGTCCAACTAAACTTTCTTACAAAACAAGACACAACTTTCACTGTGTTCCCTCTTAAGTTTACTCATTGGGTTAATGACTTCTTTGTTTACAAAGGGCTGACAGGAAAGATGTGTCATACTCACCCCTCTTGAGTGAATTATCATTAGTACCTAGCTCCAGTAATGAACCTCAAAGGGTTTGGTAACACAGTACTTGTGTCTTTTATTTCTGTATTTGATACATAGATATATCAAGATTTGGGCTTGATAAAGTTGGGCTCACATTATTACACATCTGAATTGAAAACCACTCATTTGTTTGTGCTGTGAAGAACGAGATGAGGAGACCAAGATTGCCACCAGGAGAATTACACCCCAGAAAATATTCTGTATGTGAATCATCTTGTTGTCCTTTGTTCTATTTGTTAAAGAAGCTTAATCTAATGATTGCACAATTTATTAAAGAGCAGCTCTCTAAACACTACTCGTACACAAGTCAATAATCTATAATAGTGTTACATCCTCACTTCGTATGGATATTCTGAAAAACAGTCTCAAATCAGAAGTACTTGACTCCCTGGTATAACTCTCAAATGCGTACCTTAAAGTAGATCACTCCAAAATTTGAGAGTAAATATAATCTCACTAATTTAGAATTTTATTTAGCATGTAAAGAGTTTACCGCTCTATAAGAAAGCCCTCTGTAAAGAAAGGGCATCCTACTATTCATCATATTGAAGAAAATAAGAACAACCCTAGGTTTCTCTTCAGTGCTGTAGCCAGGCTGAAGAGTCACACTTCCTCCAAACCAAAAACTTGAGTCTATCTGAGCGTCTGAGTGCAAGCAACTTTATGACACCAGTTTATGTGCATATAGGGACCTCTTGAGGAAAGCAGTGTTGTGGAAATGTATTTCCACTGAATTGGGCATGTCAGGTTTTTTAA